GAAGGGGTCCAATGTAGATAATTTGCTACTAAATTACTGATTGGCTTCCTTGAGAGGTGGTGCCAATTTGGTGGTCAGCATTGCTGATAGTTGCACATTTTGTTGTTGTTAGGTGCCATCGAATTGGTTCCCATCGAATTGGCAACCCTATGTACAACAGAATGAAACACTGCCTGGCCCTACACCATCCTCACAACTGTTGCTATGCTTGAGCCCATCATTGTAGCCACCAAGTCAATCCATCTCATTGAGAGTCTTCCCCTTTTTACACATCTTTTACTTTACCAAAGTAAAGGTTGGTGTGAACCCACTAGCCGCTCCACAGAAGAAAGACGAGGCAGTAAAGATTTATGTATAATATTTAAAGTCTTGGAAACCCCATGGGGGTTCACTTTGAGTTGGAATAGACTCAGTGGCAGTGAGTTTGTTTTGATGTTTCACTTTACCAAGCATGATCTCCTTCTCTAGGTACTGGTTCCTTCTGACAACATGAGCAAAGTATGAGAGATGAAGTCTGGCCATTCTTGTTTCTAGCAGGCATTCTGACACATTTAGAAGTGGTAATAAGATCAACCTTGGTGAATGATACCCCATGCTGTTGTGTCATGAATAGCTTCCACCCCTGATACCATGTTATTTCCTTTATGCACCATTTGGGCCTCACTTGAATGGCTGATGACATAATCTTTATTGAGGACATTTGGCTGAGTCATTCTGTCTTCTTGGATTTTTAGTGCTTCTTCTGTGGTAAATGCTCTCTTTTAGGGATTCATTTTAATGACTTCAAAAGTAAAGAAAAAATATATAACCAAAGACTCGTGAGATTAGTTTTCTGGATTTGAAGGCTTAGAATCTTAGTTTCATGGGACACCTCAGTCAATTGGCATAATATGGGTTACAAAGTTCAGGTTCTGCATCCTAGTGAGATGAATAGTCTCTTGGATCTTAAAAGCTTGCAAGCATCCATCTGAAATACAGCTATTGATTTCTACTCATCAGGAGTAAAAGAGAAAGAAGGAAACCAAAGTCTCAGAGGAGAAACTAGTTTACAAGGCTAACAGCCTAAAGGAGCCATGTCCTCATCTACCCTGAGACTAGAAGAACTAGATGATACTCAGTTAAGAATACCAAACTTTCTGATCAGGGCCACAATAGATAGACCCTGGTAACCAAAGATCCATGGCCATCGAGTTGATTTCAGCTCATAGTGACCCTTTAGGACAGAATAGAACTGCCTCATAAGGTTTCCAAAGCAGTTGTGGTGGAGTAGTGGGTAAGCATTTAGCTGCAAACCAGAAGGTCAGTGGTTCAAATCTCCCAGCTGCTCCATGGGAGAAAGATGAGGTAATCTACTTTTGTAAAGATTTACAGCCTTAGAAACACAATAGGGGTCACTATGAGTTGGAATCAATTGGCAGTGGGTTTATAGGGTTTGCAAGGCTGTAAATCTTTAAGGAAGCAGAGTGCTTCATCTTTCTCCTGTAGAGCAGCCAGTGGGTTCAAATGACTGACCTTTGGGGCTAACAGCCAGATGCTTTAAGTATTATGCCGCCAGAGCTCAGACCCTGATAGGACAGAACTCAAATTCTTAAAAAGTCCAGACTTACTGGACCAGTTGAGACTAGAGGACACCCTGAGACTATTGTCCTGAGGTGCTCTTTAAACTTTGAACTGAAACTATCCCCTGAGGTCACCTTTATCAAAATAACAGATTGGTATACAAAATAAAAGATCTTTATTACCCTTGAGTGTGGTGCTCCATTAAAAATCCATCTTTATATGACCAAAAGGTCAACAATTACTCTAAAGCAAAAATGAGACAATAAGGAGGCAGGGAAAGTAGAGCACTGGAAACAGAACAACCAGAACATAATTAGAGAGAATATTGACTCATGGTGAAAAATTGTAACTAATGTCAGTGAACAATTTGTATTGAAATTGTCAGATGGGAACCTAATTTGCTGTGTAAACTTTCACCAAAAACTCAATAAAATATTATTTAAAAAAACAATAAAATGTTTCATTTAAATGAAAACATAATATCAAGTAATTTAGCATATCCAAGACCAAATACGTCTATCACATTACTTCACAGAAATGCCAAAACTCACCTATTAAAAGAAAAATATTTTAGATGGGACATATGGCAACCCCATGTATTACAAAACAGAATTGCTCCATAGTGTTTTCTTGGTAGCCATCTTTACAGAAGCAGATTTCTAGGCTTTCTTTTTGTGGCACCATTGTGTGGGTTCAAACCATGAATCTTTATGTTAATAAGTGAGCATACTGTTTGTGCCACCAGATGTTTAAAGTAGTACTACAGGGAGCTTATATCTCCTAAAATGTATGAAACTAGCATAACATTAATACTTAAACCTGACAAACATAAAGGCCAATCCCTGAAATATTGATGTAAAATTATTAAATCAAAGTATTAATAAACAGAATCCAATAACACATTAAACAAAAATTTACCATGATTAAGTGGAATATGCAGAATATACAAGAATGCAAAGGAATATTAGGAATTTTTTTTACTATAATTTATCATATTAAGAGCTCTATGGAAATATATTTATCTATAGGCACTAAAAGGAGCTCTGGTAGCATAGTACCTAAGGCACTTGACTGCTAACCAGAAGGTTGGAGGTTCAAACCCACCAGCCACTCCTCAGAAGGAAGATGGGGCAATCTACTTCCGTAGTGATACTGCCTCGGAAACCCAAGGAGGGGTCTCTTTGAGTCGGGTTCGACTCAAGGAGGGGTCTCTTTGAGTCAGGTTCGACTCGACGGCACACAACAACAACAACATAGGCACTAAAAAGGGAGCTTTGTTGATGTAATGGTTACCACATTAGGCTGTTAAACAAAAGGTCCTCAGTTCAAACCCGCCAGCTGCTCTGCAGGAGAAAGATGAGGCAGTCTACTTCCATAAAGATTTACAGCCTTGGAAATCCTATGGGAGCAATTCTACTCTGACCCTAAAGGGTTGCTATGAGTCAGAATCCACTCGATGGCAGAGGGTAGTGGTTATAGGGGTAAAAAGGCATTCAATGAAATGCAACATTCATTCTTGATTTCCAAATTAGTTCAATAAAATAGGAATAAAGTAATAAAGGAATAAAAGGAAAAAAAATCCTTAACATTACATCTATCTCATTCAAAAAGGAAAAAATAATTCAAGTGGCCAGCTAATACATGAAGAGATGCTCCTGATCATTGGCCATCAGAGAGATGCAAATCAAAACAACGAGATACCATCTCACCCCAGCACTGATGGCAAGGTTCAACGAGACAGAAAATAACGAACATTGGCAGGGATGTGAGAGATTGGGACTCCCATACACTGCTGGTGGAACTGTGAAGTGATAAAAATCACTGTGGAAACAGTATAGCGATTCCTTAGAAAGCTGGAATTGGAGATACCACTTGACCCCGCAATCCCATTACTAGGTATATATCCTAGAGAGGTGAGAGCCAGGACAACATATATGCACACCCATGTTCATCGCAGCACTATTTACAATAGCAAAAAAATGGAAACAACCTACGTGCCCATCAGTGGAAGAGTGGATGACCAAATGATGGTACATACAACCATGGAATGCTGTGCAGCACTAAAGAATAATGTAGAGTCTGAAAAACACTGCATAATATGGATGAACTTGGAGGACATTATGCTGAGTGAAATAAGTCAATCGCAGAAGGACAAATACAGTATTAGTTCGTTGTTGTGGAGGGTCAAGGAAAGGTTTATATATAGAGGGAACATATCTCTTTGTTGGTTGCCAGGGGTGGGAGGGGAGGGGAGGGAATACTGCGAAAAAAAATGCATTGACCCATGTCACTTTAGTTTTGTGTGTATTTCATGGTTCATAAATTGTATTTCCATAAAATGCTTTAAAAAAAAAAAAAAAACACAGCTGCAAGCTCATATCTGATCAAGGAGATTCCAAATGAAATAGCAATGACATACTGTTTTTTCACTCATCAAATTAAAAAAAAAAATTAAAAGCACTCTTCTTGCAAGGATACAATGGAAAGACTTTTTACACAGCTGATGGAAATATAAATCAGTAAGAGATTTCTGGAAAATAATTTTGGCAGTGTTATCAACAGTCTGAAAAATGTTTCTGTCTTTTGTCAAAAATCTTCTGGAGAACCCAGGCTATAGAAAATCTATCATGTAGAGAGGCTTTATACACAAGATATTTGCTTTAGTATTAGTTTTAATAGCAAAAAAGATAGAGCTTGGTTGCACAGATAAGTCCCACTTTTTCCATCTCTACTCACACCTGATAATGTAAAGTTCTAGTGCTTTGCTGCTTTGTTTTCAGTAGTCAGTTCACCATGTGGAGTTCACAGTCAGAACCAATTTCCAAATTAAATTCCAAAATTAAATGGGCCTATTTTTCATGTTTAGATTTGTCAAAGGGTTGTATTAAATAGATGATTAGATATTTGAGGGAGAATTAAGATAGGGGAGTGGAAGGAAAATTTATATGGGGAAAGCTAAAATGGAGATGGTAGTTATTTGAGTTGGAGAGAAAAGGAAGAAATGATGTGTTCTGTGTGTACAGAAAAAGATTAAGTTTATTTCAGGTAGTTGAAGGGGAATTTGAAATGTTTCATAAAAGTTACTGAAATGTCAAAGTGAAAAGTCAACTTTGACCTGTCATGGACTTAGAAATTGAAACGGTTACATGATTAAACCCACATGTGAGTGAATAATTAGCTCCTTTGGAGCCTCCCTGATCCCTGTCTTTTTATCTGTGACAGCCAGACCTGCTCCATCTTAGATGTTTGCCCACCTGCCTCTTCCACCAGATTGATATCTCCAAAAAGAAAAGGCCCTCACTGTATTGGACTTTACATCTTCACCACTGAGCATGGAGCTTGGCACTTATTATCTAAGAGATTGAATTTGTATTGTGTCAATCCTTTGAAGGATAACCTTCTAGAGTATTATTTAACTTGAAAATTTTCTTTCCAAACAGGATTACCAAACCAATAACAATGACCAGGCAGTGGTTGAAATCTGTATCACACGAATCACAACAGCAATCAGAGAGACCAAGTCGATTGAGAAGCATGCAAAGGCCCTTGTGGGGCTCTGGGACTCCTGCTTGGAACACAACCTGAGACCCTCTGGGAAAGATGAAGACACTCCCCATGCAAAAATCGCATCTGATATCATGAGTTGCATTTTACAGGTATGTCAGTGTTTGATGTCAGACTATTTGATAATGGCTTAGCAGTTTGTATGAACACATGATGCCTCTGAACAAAGAACCAATATATCTATAACCAATATGTAAGGTGTACTCTGGGACTTTCAAAGTAATACCACATCAAGCATCAATCTAATTGGAGAGATAAGACAAGTACATATACAACTAACAATAAAGCCAAGTGTGCCAAGATCCAAATGAGGAATACTGGAAAATTTAGAAAAGGAGACATCTTTTGTCCAACGATATCAAAGGGGAAGTAGAGTAAAGTGAAGGGCTGTGAACTTGGGATACGTAGAGAATATTAAATCATTTTTAGGTGTATTTCTGTATGTATTGTGAATTCTACAAATTCATGGTATTTGCATGTTCTAACCATGCTTCACTTCCTTCTGCTGGTGTAATCATGAATTTAGAATTTTAGCTAAGCCAGCTCTGTAATATTGGGAAAAATCACTTAACTTTCTAAGCTATCTTTTCCTCCCTATAAAATGCAGATTAAATGACATTGTCTGTGACAAATTTTAGCAAACAATGATGTTGATAGATATTTCCCAAAAAAGAATTCTGTGGTCCAATAAGTTGAGAAACACTACATTTAATTTTCCCTTTTGGGGCTGTCATGAACCTTCATCATGTATTAAAGGCTCAGAATTCTCTAAGTCCCGCAATAAAGAAAGCTGATTAACTTTGATTAGTCCAGCATTTTCCAATCCGATTTAACCATGGAACCCCTTTGCTTTCTCCTCCCTCAACAGCATTTTCTAATGTTAAACCATGAAACTTCCTTCCCCTTTCCTACTCCCAACACGTTTATGAACATCCCTCAGAACTAGGGTTCCACTGAGCACAGTTTGGGAAATTCTGGTTATGTTGAAGTGCTTAGTGCTGACGCTCTAATGTTAGCTTGCCTCCTCCTCCTTCTCCTCCTTTACTCTTTCTGCAGTTTTCCATGCTTAGCTGGAACATATTCCCATCTGTCTTTTCAGCTCAGGGACTGGTCAGCTGAGCAAAAGACTACACACCCCACCCCCACTGTTTTTCCTTTGTCCTCAGAGTTGCAGAGAGTGGGGAGGTGTAGAATGGGAATTTCAGCAAAATTGACAAGACTAATGCTCCTTGGAAAAAACACCAAAGATCTAGCACATCTGTTTTTCATGAATTATCTTGGGTATGTTATTGATATATTGTTATGAGAAACAGATCATTTCACTCCAAGGTGCTACTCCACAGGCATTCAGGAAGATCCTCACAAATCATCAGTACACTCCAGCTCCCACTGCTGTTAGAGAACTATTGGTTTAACTCTGGAGCAATGCTGTCCAATAGAAATACAGTACAAGCCACATATATAATTTTAAATTTCTTGGTACCTACATTAAAAAAAAAAGTAAATAGTAACAGTTGAAATTAATTTTAATAATATGTTTTCTGAGAGTTCCGGCAAGATGGCGGACTGAGCAGAAGGATTGCACAGACCCTCTTCAACAAAGAAAAGGGAAACCAATTAACACAGACACAGAAGATAATCTTGGACCCCTGAGCCTTAAAGGGAAGGAT